ACTGGGGGAACTGGGGGAACTGGGGGAATAGGGAGAACTGGGGGAACTGGGGGGGACTGAGGAGAACTGGGGGTACTGGGAGGAATCTGGGGGAATAGGGAGTCTGGGGAACTGGGGCGCCGGGGGGAACTGGAGTGGGCTTAGGCAGACTGGAAGGGCTGGGATGGACGGAGGAAAGGGAGGAACTGGGGCAGACTGGGGACGGGGAGAACCGAAGGGATTGTGACCATCCACGGGTCAGCTGGGAAGATTGGGCTGGGGGACACTGGGGGGCCAGCAGTGAGCAAGGATGAGGGGCTCAGGCGAAATTAGGAGGGTTGGAAAAGCAAGGAGGACTGTGAAGGCAGAGGACTGGGAAGGACTGGGATAGCCTGAGAATGTGTCTGGGATAGACTGAGGCACCAACATGGGGTGAGGAAACGGGGTAGCAGGAGCCCCTGTGCAGGCTGGACAACCCCTGGGTCTGGCCCCACAGCCCCTCTCACCTCTCCTTTGCAGGATCGTCCCCCCAGTGCCGATGGCCACGCTCCGGACACTGCCCCGGGGCAGGGCAGCCAGTGCGACAGCCCCAAGCAGCCGGCAGGACAGGAGAGCCCGACACTCCCGGTGCCCTCTGCCGTGAAGGTAACACTGCTGTCTCTGGGCTGCCCAGGGGAGGAACCAGCCCAGGGCATCCAAGCCTGAAGTGCCCATGTGCTGCGCCCCAAATGTGTGGGAGCTCCAGGTGTCCAGCCTTAAAGGCTTTGAATAATTCAGGCAGACAGCCTTGTGTCAAAAACTGATTTAATTCATTGTGAAATGGTACAAGATACAGCAATACACCTTGCTAGAGGCAGTTGCTGGGGTCCTGCACTGAAAACTCCCCTGGGGCTGGGAGCAGGAGGAGATACAGGGCAACACTGGAGTTCCTTCCAGGCAGGGAGGGCCACTGTCCATCTCTGTGCTCTGCAGCACAGCTGAGATGGGACACAGTGCCGAGGGAGTGCCCCACACCCAGGCTCAGCAGGTCTTGGAGCTGGAGTGTCAGGTGCCAGCAGGAGCTGCCTTGGTTCTGTCCCAGGCCTTTGAGGTCCCATAGGGGTGACAGGAGCTCTTCTCACACCTAATGCCTTTCCTTCTTGGCCCAACAGTCCAAATCATCCAGTGACAGCAAGAACCGTCACAAAAAGCCCAAAGACACCAAGCCCAAAGTGAAGAAGCTCAAGTACCACCAGTACATCCCTCCAGACCAGAAAGCAGAGAAGTCCCCTCCACCCATGGATTCTGCATATGCCAGACTGCTCCAGCAGCAGCAGCTCTTCCTGCAGCTCCAGATCCTCAGCCAGCAGCAGCAGCAACAGCAGCAGCACTTCAACTACCCTGGGGTGCACCAAGGACAGCTGAAGTGAGTGCCAGCAGCAGGACTTAGCCCTGTCTCTCTCCAGACTTTCCCCTCTGTATCCACTTGTGCCAGAGCAAGGGGATAGAGGCACACTCCTGGAACAGAAAAGCTTGGGAACAGCACAGACCCCTTCCAAGCCATTCTGGCTTTGCACAGTGGCTGGGGCACCTGTGACCTGCTGGTGGGATGCCAGCAATCTCCTACAGCCCAAACTGGATTTCCTTGGCCATCCTGAAGTCTCATATAGGAGACAGCAGACCCAAGGGAGCAGAGGGATGGGATGCTGGGCACAAAGACCCTGGGGAGCAGACAAGTTACCCCAAATCTCCTTTGTTATTTCAGGCAATCAAATGAGCAAATGGTCAAAAGTTCAAATTCTTCATCAACTTCTGGCAACAACACCCCTCTTTCTCCAGTGAAAACCACCTTTTCAGGCCAGACTTGTGTCTCATCTATCAAGCCAGGCCCTCTGCCATCCAACCTGGATGATCTCAAAGTGAGTACAAACTTTGCCACTTCAGGAGCAGAATGTCACAGCCTGAGTGTGCTGTGCTGCCTCTGAGTGTGTCAGGGGAGTGCCAAGGGCTGGAGGGGACCTTAGGTGTTAGATGTCAGCACACCTGCACCCCCATGCTCTGAGCCACCCAGGAGTACAGCACAGCACCCTGGGGCAGGGCTTGGTCACTGGGGAGGTTCTGAACATGAGGGCTTGCTGCTCTGGAGGTGGTGAGGGGTGCACTGCTCCAGCCTGTGTACCAGCAAACCAAAGGTGTAGCTTGGGGAGGCTGCAGGTCAGGCTAAAGGATGATCTGAGCTGCTGCTCCTGCAGCTCCTGGCTCCATCCCTGTGTGGTTTTATGGTGGACATCGTGGATGCTCTGACAGACCAGCCAGAGGCCATTAGGGGAGCATGGTGCCCCCCTTAGTGACTCAGCTAAGGCCAGCTCAGCTCTCTGCATGAGCAGGTGCCTCCTGCTATGTGCACTGTTTTGAGCAGTTCTCATGTAGGCAAGAAAGGGCATAGGGGAGAATCCTTCATATCAGCTATTCTTTTATACATTGCTAATAGACCCTCAGTCATGGGGAAGGCCAAATCCTTCTAGGAGCAGAGGTAGAAACAGCATGAGTTTGCCCTAGCTCAGGTGGCTGAATCCTGTGCCTGAGCATAGAGCATGTGGCTCCAAGGTGTCACAGTCTCTGAGCCATAAGCTGGCTCCTGGTCTGTGTTAAAGTCCTCTGCACATGGAGAAATCTGCTAGGAAGGGAATCCTGAGTTGCTTCCCAGACCCAAGGACCACTGCTGGTTCATGGAGAGGACTCACAGTTCTTGGGAGGAGGAAGGTTTTCTTGTTAGGAAAGGTTGTGATTCTGCAGGATTCTGCAGTGGTCAGGATCCTACAGGATGTGCAGTGGTGAGGACTCTGCAGGATGTGCAGTGGTCAGGATCCTGCAGGATGTGCAGTGGTCAGGATCCTGCTCATGGTGACTCTGGTGCCTGCAGGTGAGACAGGAGGACCTGGGAGGTCAGAGCTTTAAAGCTGGAAGCTGTGAGCCAGTGATCTGAGACTCCTTGTTAGAAGCACTGAAGGTCTTACCTGCCCCTGGCCCTGATCACGAGTGACTTTCCTTGCAGGTGTCAGAGCTGAGGCAGCAGCTCCGGATACGAGGCCTGCCTGTGTCAGGTACCAAAACAGCGCTGATGGAGCGGCTGCGGCCCTTCCAGGAGTGCAGCAGCAGCACGGTGCCCAACTTCAGTGAGATCACCACCGTCACCTTCCCAGTCACCCCAACAAGCACCCTGTCCAGTTACCAGTCACAGTCCTCCACCAGCATGTTATCAAACGGCTTCTATCACTTTGGCAGCACCAGCTCCACCCCACCCATCTCGCCCGCCTCCTCTGACCTCTCCGTGAGCGGCTCTTTGCCAGACACCTTCAACGACGGGCCCATGTCTTCCCCACAGTTCGGCCTGCAGCCATCCCCGGTTCATGGCAGTGCTGAGGAAAGCCTCATGAGCAGCATGAATGGAGGGAGCATCCAGCTGGAACTGGAAGGAATAGACACAGAGAAAGACAAGATGCTGGTGGAGAAGCAGAAGGTCATCAATGAACTGACATGGAAGCTGCAGCAAGAGCAGAGGCAGGTGGAAGAGCTGCGGATGCAGCTCCAGAAGCGAAAGAGAAGCAATGGCCTTGAGGAGAAGCAGCAGCCTGCTCAGCATTTCTTTGGTGTCCCCATCAAGCAGGAAAACGCCGTGTCCAGCTGTCCCTTTGCATCCAAACAAATGGCCCTGAAAGGCCAGGCCGGCAGCTCGGAGAAGCTGAGTAACTGTGGGGTACCGCAGGTGCCCCACATCGTAAACAGCCACTGCCTGGAGCCCGCAGGGCAGAGCACCATCACCTCCTCGACATTCCTGAGCCCGCAGTGCTCCCCCCAGCACTCTCCCCTGGGGGCTGCAAAGAGCCCCCAGCACATCAGCCTGCCACCGTCCCCCAACAGCCACTACCTGCTGCCGGTGTCCCCCGAGGGCCGCAGCGGGTCCCCGCCGGGCAGCAGCTGCCTCCGCACAGCGCCGGTGAGTGCCAGCCCAGACCCCACGGGAGAGGCCTCTCCTCTTGGCCCGGGGCTGCTGGCAGCATGTGGGGCTGCCTGCAAGGGCAGAGAGTATCCCAGGGGGACAGTGGGTTGGAGGCTGATAGCGCTGCAGGGTCCTTTGCAGGGTTTCTTCTGGGGGGCCCTACCACTGCAGCCAGTTGCTCTGGAGGGGCCACAGCACAGCTCTCATGCCCCATGGAGCCCTGGCACAGCTCTCATGCCCCATGGAGCCCTGGCACAGCTCCTGCTGCCGTGAGAAAGCCCTGGCACAGCTCCCCTCCTCCCCAGGGGACCCCAGCACAGCTCTCTCTGCCCCTAGGTGAGCACTGGCAAAGCTGCCTGTGTCCTGGGAGAGCCTGGCAGAGCATCCTCTGCCCTACAGAGCCCTGGCACTGTTCCCTCTGCCCTGGGGAGCCCTGGCACAGCTCTCTCTGCCCCTGGAGGAGTTCCAGCAAGCTCCCTCTTCCCTGGGGGAGCACTGGCACAGCTTCTTCTACCCTAAAAGAGCCCAAACACAGCTGCCTCTTGCCTCAGGGGGAGTTCTGGCACAGCTTGCTCTGCCCTTGGGGAGTCCTGGCACAGCTGCCCATGCCCCATGGAGCCCTGGCACAGCTCTGTACACAGCAGGGAGGCACCAGCGTGGATCCCTCAGCTCCTGGGAGAGCCCTGGCACAGTTCCTACAGCCCTGGGAGACCCCACTGCAGGGCTTTCCAGCATCTTGCCAAGCCATTGTGGCTCCCAGCAGCGTGTGAAGGATTTTCACCACTGAGTTGGAGGAGAGCAGTCACCCTGGGGAAGTCTTTTCTCAGGAAGCTGGAGCAGGGCTGGCAGTTGAGGTCTGCAGTCAGAGAGAGCTTGTGCCTCCCCAGCAGGCCACCACAGGCTGTCCTCAGCAGCCCCCACTCAGCCCCCTGGACAGGGACAGCTTGGGGAGGGGGACATGCTGCCAGCACAAACCAGCACAGGGCTCTGCTCAGCGCAACCCCAGCCCATCCAGTGCCCTCCCAGGGCTCCCCAGGCAGCAGCAGCAGCACCTTTCAGTGGCCTGTGCCATGCACAGGGGTGCAAGGTGTGCCCCACAGCAGGGGCAGGCTGGGTGTGTGGCACTGCCCACAGCAGAGCAGGGTGGCCCCAGGCAGGCACTGGGGTGCAGCCCTGCACAAAGTGGCACAAAGGGGGGCTCAGGGCTGTGTCCAGGGGATGGTGGGTGCTGTGGCAGAGCACAGCCAGTGAGGTGGGAAGGGGCAGCAGTTTTGGGTGAGGAGGAGAACACAGAGCTGCCAGTGGGATGGGCATGGAGGGCAGTGGGGTTGGGGTGAGGCAGGCAGTGGGGCTGCTGCAGGGGTGAGAAGGGACACTGGTTTGGGGGAGCTGGGCAGGGGGAGCAGAGCAGGGGGGTGACCCTGGCACTGGGGCTGTGCAGGTGAACTGGGCACTGCAGCAGAGCTGTAGGGACAGTGGGCACTGGGACACAGTGCTGTGAGGTGATATCCAAGAGAGGCAGCAGGGCTGCTCTGGGCAGCTGGGCAGTGGTCAGTGAGGCTCAGGAGGAAGCAGCAACACCACAGGGACATCTCCAGCTGCTCCCTCACTGCCCAAGGGCAGGGTGTGCACAGGGGGGATGGTCTCATTGTGTCCTGCAGCTCACCCCAACCCCAATACCACCCATCCTGGGCATTCCTCTGCTGCCTGCAAGGCACTCCCAGGGGTGAGGGTCCTTCTTCAGTAAGAACTCTTCCTTTGTGCCCAGCACTGCAGTGCTGTTTCCCATGAGCCAGGGCTCCTTCCAGCTACCCTCCACAGAAAGGTGGCCAGGATGTGCATGGCCAGGCAGAGTGGCCTCACCGCTCCCTGGGTCCTCTCCTGGATCCCACCTGGAGGGACCCTGGTGCTGGTTTTTGTGGAACACGGCCATGGCCAGGCAGTGGGGAAGGACACACAAGGGCCTAGAGGTGATGGGGACAGCAGCTGACAGGCACTGTTCTTCAAATGCCGTCTGTCCTTGAAGGGGAACCTGGCAAAAACTTGGTGAAGATGTGCAGGTGTTTGACACAGGCAGAGATTTCCCTCTTTTGAGTGACCCTCCCTGGCCTCAGCTGTGTGAGGTGCCCCCAGTCAGGTGGTGATGGAGAGGGGCTGGGGTGGCTGGGGAAGTGCCTCATCACTGGCCAAGCACAGCTGACCACCACAGCATCTCTGTCCCCCTCAGTCCTGCGTGTCCACAGCTGACTGAGCACCAGGATTCCAGTGTCACTGTGTCTGTGCTCTGGCAGTGCCACGAGGCCAGCCTGGCCCTGGCTCTCGGAGCTAGGGCAGGGAGCTGGTTTACCTGCCTCTATCCTGCTCAAAGCCGGGAATTTTGACCCACAGAATTGTCATTTCCCTGGCACCACAGCAGCCTCAGCAGGGACGAGAGAGCCGGGCCTCCCGCCGTGCATTGACTCCATTTCCCTGTATTTCCCCATGCAGATGGCTGTGCAGTCAGGCCAAAACTTTTCTATTTCATCCCCAAGTTTTTGTAAGTCAAGCCCAGCCCTGTCAGAGGTAAAGCAGCCTCCACCCTATGAGGATGCAGTGAAGCAGGTAACTGCATGGTTTTTGTTTTCTACAGGGCTAGGGCTGCCCACAATGTCTTTTTGCAGTCAGAGGAACTCAGCTGCTGCAGTTCCAGCCCTTTCTGGGGTCTCTGGGTAGGACAGACCTGCTCCCATGAGGAATGGGCTTTTTTGAAGGGTTAGTTGCTGATTAGCTGCCACAAAGGAGCTGGGCAGGAACATGTCCCCTGTGCACCCAGGGGTCCTGACACCCCCCAAGTCCCCTGGGTGCCAGTGTTCTCTCTTTGGGTGCTCAGTGCTGTGTGAGGGACAGACCCTTGAGCATTCCCAAGTCACCAGGAAACCTCCTCCTGCTCCATCCACCCCCTGAGCCACACCCTGGAGTAATGCATGGCCATTCCCAGGAACACATTCCTCCCCATCAGAGTCTGGAGCAGCCTCAGTGCTGGGACTGGTGGTGCCTTTAGGGAAGTGGAGTGATGCTGTTGGCAGGGTGAAAATGGGTTTATGCCAGCCTGCAGATCTTCCAGTCAGGGAGAGGAGGGAGACTGGGCAGTGCAGGGAGCAGGGAGGGCAGGCAGTGCCTGTGAGGTGCTGGGGCCAAAATGTTGCTGTGTCCTGAGAGCCCTGGGACAGGGCAGGCTGTGGTGGCCACTGAGCAGAGGGTTGGCAGCAGGGAAGGGTTCTTTGCCCCCTGGATCCACAGTGATTGTGCCACATCCCTGCAGTGCCCTGAATGCTGCTGCCAGCCCCGTGTTGGTATGGCCTCTCTTCTGTGGGGTCTAAAGCCATCTTTTTTGGGGTCTAGAGCCATCTACCTGGCTTGTGGCTGGAGGGACTGTCCTCCTAATGCCCTCTACTCTCCTCTTTGTCGTTTGCTGCAGCAGATGACACGAAGTCAGCAGATGGACGAGCTCCTGGACGTGCTGATTGAGAGTGGAGGTACGCTCTGCTTCCCTCTTCCCCTCTGGGGCTCTCCCTCCAGGCCAGTATCAGTCTGTGGGGCTCAGTGCATCCTGTGCACCCCAGCAGAGCTGTCTGAGTCAAGTACAGTTTTCCCCTGCCCCCCCTGTGCCAGCAGCCCCCAAAATTGAACCCAAAAGCAGCCTGGCCCTCCCGGAGCCTGCTGCTGCATGTGCCAGCCCAGTGGGGTGGTCTGGGCTCAGCTGTGACCTGTGCAGAGAGCAGGAGCCCTGTGCACATTACTGCCAGCCCCCTCTCCACACAGCCCCCAGTGTGCCCCCCATCCCCAGGGCTGCCAGTGCCACCTCCCAGCAGAGCTCTTCTGCTGCCCTCCCCTGCCCAAAGTGCTGCCCTTCCCCAGTCCCTTGGGGACAGCTGCTGGTGCTTGTGCCTTAGGGAGTGTGTCCAAACCCGGGGATCAAGGTCAGAAAGCAGGAAAGTGCAAGGGAGGGGGGCAAGCAGTGCCACTGGGACTGAGTGAGGAGCAGGTTTCCATAGGGGTGCCCAAGGGGTCAGCTGGAGGCCTCTGGTGGTGCCCAGCAGTGGTGGGCACTGCCAGAACACCTCAAATCCCTCTCATCTGTTGACAGAAATTCCAGCCAATGCCAAGGAAGATCGGTCCTGCCTCCAGAAAGTCCCTCAGATAATGGTGTCTACAGGGAGCTCCGGTGCCTCTGTCCCCAAGGGCTCTGCCCCGTTCGAGCCGGTGCCCTTCGAGCACTGCCCGGGCGGCAGCGACGCTCACCTGGAGGTGCTGCTCAATGCCCACAGCCCCCTGGGCAGGGTCAGCGAGATGGCCCTGCTGAAAATGGGGGGAGAGGAGCCCCACTTCGAAGGGATGATGGAGGGGTTCTCTGGCAAAGCCGCGGATGAACTGCTCAACTCCCAGGAGATTTTACAGACTCCCCTGTCACCCATGGAAACCCAGCTGTCCCCTTCCCCCGCCGAAGGCTCCGGTTTACAAATGAGTTTCACTGAGTCTCCGTGGGAAACAATGGAGTGGCTGGACCTCACCCCCCCCAGCTCTGCCACCGGCTTCAGCTCGCTCACCCCCGCGGGCCCCAGCATCTTCAACATCGATTTCCTGGATGTAGCCGACCTCAACCTGAACAGCAGCATGGACCTGCACCTGCAGCAGTGGTGAAGGGACGTGCTGGGGCAGGGGGCTGTGAGCCTGCAGCAGGTGGCACAGCGTTCCTGTCGTGACAGAGAACATGCAGGGCAAACGTGCCTCATCCAGGGGAAACTGGAGTCATTTTCCCAGCATATAAACTTGTTTGAATTTCCAGTCACTGAAAACTGACAGCACAATTCTGGTACTTTGGTTTTCCTCCATTGACACAACCCCACAGAGGACACCAGTGCCTGAAACAATACTTCCTTTGATTGACAAGAACTTCAGTTCTCCTTCTTTAATCTTCCCCCCCCAGTTTTAGCAGTCACTCTCGTGAGAACTGGAGCAGCTCATGACAAGACTGTGTGGTGAGGTGACCTCACCTGGGTGGCAACAGGAAATCATGGAGAGGGAAGACCACTGTTTCCTCTCCTCTCCTCTCCTCTCCTCTCCTCTCCTCTCCTCTCCTCTCCTCT